TCAGCACGTCGCGCGATGTCCCTAGGCCGCGTGATGGTGCCACTGTATCGACGTATAACACGTTGTTTTCCATCCTGATGTCGAAGACGACTTCTCCATCGCTGCGTCTCGCAAGTGCGTGCGTCGTACCGTCGTAGACGAGTCCGAAATCCTTGCGCTCAAGCTTGCCGTACGACATGATATTTCTCTATAGCTCCGGCGCGAGGTGGACCTCCGCCAACGCCACATCTTGCTAATGTACTTTTGCTTTCACAGTCAGCACTACGCTACCGACGCGCGACAGCTTGATAACCTTGCCGTCGGCTAGGTGGCACTCGTGCTCGCAGTCTCACACACCTTGTAGTAGAGACGAGTTGTGGACGAGATGGCGGCTGGATCCACTGTCCAGAATCCAGTCGTCGCCTTCTTCGTCACTGTCATTGCTAATTGCCAGTGTCAGGTCACACTTACCACGACGCGAGCCCTTATTACTGATGCCTTCGCCTACCACAAGCACAATGTTGCCACCGCTCTTACCGCGACGGCTGCTGTTCGTGTCGCTAGTCCTCCTGCTACGACAGTCGGCTTTTGACATGTCCCATCTTTCCACATCCGTAGCAGGTACGCGTTTCCTTTTAGGCCGTGGACTCGTCCACGTGTGCGACAACATCCTTCCCGACGAAGCGTCCCGATCGATCTTCCATCTCAATTGCCTGAGCAAAATGCGCGAGCTCTTCGGCGTGCACCAGGTGGTCGACACGATGCGTCTCGTATTTTGCCATCAGAATCGCCGACAGCTCGGGCGATGTATACGGTAAAATATTATCAAGCACCTGCTGCTCGGCGCTGCCAGCTGCATCGCTGAATGCGACTAGGAACATGTAGTGCTCTGGCCACAAGCGCTTGCTTTCCTTCTTTGTCGTGAACAGCGTTTTCGCTTGATCTGCGGTGATGATCGTCTTGAATTTATCAAGCATGCGCTGCATCACGTACTGGAAAGTCGGTAGCACGGCCCACTACGTGTCGACCTGCTTGCTGAAATACGGCTCTGCTGTGCTGGTTAGGTACTGACCAAGAACATCAGTCTTGACGTTCTCGATCCACAGGAATCCGCACGACTCTTGAGCCATGTCTACTTGTCGCCAGGAAGTCTCGCCCCAGTCGAAGAGTCCGGAATCGAGTCCGACGTACACTTCGGTCCCATTGAACTTCCAAATCGCGAGCTTGCTATGCCTTGTGTTGATCGTCCGGAACTGCTTCGGCGAATGTGACTGCATCGGCGCAACTGGTAGTTCCTGTCGACGTGGCAGAGACAGAGGCTGATATCCCCCCTCTCCGCGGCTTTCCAAACAGGGCGGGGTCGGTCACGGCTGTGAAATGAAAAAACGAAAATTATAGGGACATGTGGTTTTATGTGTGCCACATCAACATGAGTTTACTAGGACGTGGGGCATTTTTTTACTTCGTGAGTAAATGGGGCATTCTTTTTATTTTCTCTAGAAATAAACGTACTTATATTTATTTCGCTCGCGTCAAAAATAACGTTATATATTATAACACAGACTCTGACATTCAGACCACCACTTACATTGTTATGCATGTTTGCTACACACTAGTAGTTGGTGCAGCCTCCTCGACACAGGATTATGCATGTAGCATTCACATCAATATGAGGAGATAATGAAGAGAATTTAATACATATTTGAATAGGGAACCTCGTATAGGCAGCGAGTTATTCTTGCCCATTTAGATGTGCCACCGGCTTGACCATGTAGATGTGATACTGGCAGCGAAGGTCTTTATTCCATCTACCCAGCGTGGCCGCGGAAATCCTGTTGGTGCTCTTGGACATCATTTGTAAGGACGCTAATCGCAGACTTCTACTCAGCGGAATCCATCACAGTTTGAAGTTGTGATGAATACTGTGCGTCCTGTACGTTTATGCAGTAACTTTGGAGAAGCAGGACACAACAGAAGAAGATGTCGGCAACCTCTTTTAACTCCCGCAGTGACTGCATTGGCATATTTGTATGCTCCGGGTACTAAGGACGAATGGAATCACCTATGTCAGCCACCAAATGTATATCAGCAGTACCTAGACATGGATGCGCTCGCGGAGAGTTAACCATAATTCAGTAAAAGCTAAAAAGCGAATTAATACATTCATACTTTCCGGCGATTTTTATGATTTGCGCGAAATTTTGCATTTATTTTTTGCTCTTTTCATTTATTTACATCTTGTTATTCACACCGCGAAAGAAGTATGCAGGGTTGTTTAAATTGAGGGTGAATGGTAGTTAGCGAAAAGTGAGTGGTGACTAGCGGGTTCCTATCTTAATCGATGATATTCACCAGTATTTACCTTGCTAAGTAAATATTGAAGGAATATTACATTCGAAGGTAATCCTAGGCACTGCTTCACTTGGTGTAGGCCATTCTGTAAACCAACTAAATTAAAAGTCGCTGCCAGACGCGAGCCATCGGTGGTGAGCGAGTAGCTGCATTTAACGTTTGTACTATCATTTTGACAAGCTAAACTAAACGATACCTATTTTTCAATGTCATTATCAATAGATTGAATTCAGGTTAACCAATTCCTTGTACTAATCGTGCTTGTATAAAGTCGACACCTTCCTCTGCACGTGCATTGTACCAGAGGTTTCGGGAACCTACCTGCAATGTGGTCGGTTTACGTAGCTTATAGGGCTTCATGCCCCGTTACAGCCCAGGTCCACGCATGTCTTGATTCGTAAACGGACGAACATAAAACGTTTTCTTTAAATCGCGACGTTCTAAGATTAGCATGTAAACGGCGAGACAACGCTTTTGCGGTGAGGTCTTCGATGCTGACCACGAAGAAACACACCTAGTTTGTGCTCTTATCATACAAGGAAGCGTCCTTTGTATTTGCATTACGTCGCAATGCTGATTCTGGCTATTTGTAGACAAAAAACGTCTCCAATCAATTATTGCCACTGCAACTGCTGTTAATAGTGTGGATCCTTGGTAAGCGCAGGGTGAGATGTTCGATGGGACGGATAACCATTCTGCCTATGTCCAATGCGGGTCTATCATTCATGCGCTCTTCAAGCATCACCTCTCCATGCAGCAGAGGGGACGAAAAAGGCACTCGGATTCGTTAGCCTAGACGGCGACATCAGGGTGCAGTTTATCTTCCTTTCGATGCGCGTTCCTACGCAACAGCCTAGAACGTGAAGACGCCGTGGCTAAAGCGTCAACTAGGCACTGGCGTTATCTGCTGCACCATCATCGAATCGCCTATTAGAGGTCCCTATTCGGCTTGTCAACGTGGAACAAACTGCCGTGCCATTGTGTTTGTTTTGCGCTTGTTTGACGACAAAGCATCAACAGAGAGCAGAGCTTCGTGAACATCACGAAAGGCAGGTACGCGGATATGGTCTTGTTTTATTGTTGCCGTGTAAAAGGCTGTGTAGCGTCAGAGAAGGTGTTTGAATCGCAAATTGGTATCATCAATCTCCATGATGTCTTCTATATCTCTTAACAACGCACTTCTGGCTGCGGTTTCGATAAACGGCCAAGATTGGACCAAAAGAAGCTTCCACCACATCTAGACTGCGGCATCCATAAGAAGAGTAATAAGTCCTTGGAAAGCCAGGCAGAGTGAACTGGTCGAACTTTGATTAGGCAAGTAAGGAAGAATTGGCGGTCACGTTATCGACGTGTGGCGGCATTGAAATCTTCCAGACTTGTGCTCACGCATACAGGCCAACAATTCTTAGCATCTTAAATACGAAGGCCGCTAGAGTCATATGGAGGGAAGGTGGTCAAGACTTTTACATTGTTCTAGCGCCAGTACATCCGTCGCAACCGTCTGCACGCCTTTACTGAGCCACGAATTCACTAAATGATACTTTTGACCGCGCGTTTGCACTTGCCTGCACCTATTTGGCGTCCAACTTAATTCACAAAGTAGCTGCTGAATAGCGTGAGGACATGTATCATCAGTCTGTAAGCGAATTCGTTCATGAACGTTGTTTGCACGTTAAAGCGATGATGTACCAATGAACTGTCATTGGTGTTGGCGTTTTGACACCTTGTAAGACGCAGTTTTGCTTTCTCGGTTGATGCATATCATTAGTTAAGTCACCAAACTTCCTATTGAATTTCGTTGTCAAACTTAACTTTTGCTCCTTGCCGCAATGACCTGAAGCTGCGCTCTACCAGTCAATCATGTAGACGTCGATTACCGTAGGCTCCTGATGTACGTACTGCCGTCAGCAGTAAAGTTCGTTGGAGCTGTTTCCGGTCGTCGCAAATGCTCCAAACGCTTGACCGTGTAACTGCGCCCGAAGACGCCGCCTTGGTATTAGAGACTTTGTGCTGCTGAATGCAAAAAAAAGCGAGCAAGGAGTTGAACCAACCTCCCCCCAAGCAAGCACACGGACCGATTCCCATTCAGACGCAACGACGGCTGGACACGATGAGGAGCACGACGACATGGTGACTAGACGATCAACTTCGGTGCGATGAACCAGCAGGTGCACTGGGAAACCCGACGCCCTCGTGCTCGTGAGCGTAGTGCAAACCAGTATTTTGCAGCAACTCCAGATCTCGTGAACAAACTTGGTTGTTAGCCAGACACGTCGACAAGGCGACACTGGCTGAGCGCACGCACACACCCCGATCATCAGTCCTTAGGGTCAAGCGTTTACCGGCAAGAAGTGACTGACCGCAACCATAGTGCCGTCACGATGGACGAACGAAGCCAAGCTGCTACTGAAATCGGTACCACCTGGTTGTGCGCTTTAGCCTTGACCGCGTTTTCATCGTGCGTTTCAGTAATCTCCAAAGAGTACAACGTTCGGCACTGCTGTTTGTACGTGTTGACGCGGTCCACCCGAATGGTAAACTGTCAACTTCCTCTTGGGTTCATCCAGCTAAGCCAACTCTCTCCATGGATTTGATCCCGACTAGCAAGTAGAACGATGTTGTATACGTCTCTCTCACGTATAAGACCACCAGCTGACGCGGATATGCACTCATCGCACGAGATTTCGCACATGATCCCGCCCCTCGTTTGACAACAAAGCAATATCGTCGTCTTCAATCAGCACAACCTGCGACTCGGATCGCGATGAATGCTTCTGTCGACTTGTCCTTCGAAATTGTGGTTCACATCTACTTCTAGGAACTGACATGGCTCGACTTGCCAGTCGACCCGTGGTCGCCAAGTCGTCCGGTGCAAGCTCGAGGTTGCGCAGCTCAAAGTGCAGCTGCAACGCTGACGGTCGATCCAGCGGATTCCCATCAAGACACCTGTCAATGAGAGCCCGGACTCGCGTAGGACATTCAGGACTCAAAGATGGCCTCAACGAACCGGCACTCACTAGCACAGCAATACGAGCGTTCGTGTGCTTCGTCTTTCCGCCACGACTATCATCGCTCGGGACGCCCTCAGAGTACGGCCGCCGACATGTGTCTAGCTCGGTCATTATCACACCAAACGAGTACACGTCTGCTTTTTCCGTGTACCGTTCACCACGCAGCACCTCTGGCGCAATCCAGGATATAGTCCCAATCTCAGCTGTCATGGTCTGATCCTCTCGAAGCTCGCGACTCACACCAAAGTCCGTCAACTTGGCTTCCCACGTATCGCTGAGGAGAATGTTGTTGGGCTTTAGGTCTCGGTGGATCATCGGGTTTTCGAAAGAGTGCAGGTACACGAGAGCTTCCGCAACATCGAGAGCAATAATGGACTTGCATTTGCGGCCTCCTCTGCTTGACGGTGTGGTGTGGAACCAGCCGTACGATTCACGAGCCGTCAGGTCGCGAGCCTCGCGCTTCAACTGTTGCTGCAAGAGTGTTGCGAGGTCACCATTTGGCATGTATTCAAACACGACGGACAAATCGATGAGCGAGGTGAACGTGAAGCCGATGAACGTTACAATCTTAGGGTGGCCCAGAGAAGCACACGTCCGGATTTCGTCCATAAAGTCGTTAAGCATTCGTGGATCACGAGCTCGCTCTGGCAGCAATTGCTTCGTAACGACGATTTTGCCACGGAAAATAGCCTTATGAACGGCTCCGTAGCCGCCCTTTGCAATGAGTTTACCACGCACCACTTCGTCGTGCATCAGACGAAAGTGCCGCATATTCTGATCAGTGCGAATGTCGTTATCGAGATGCCGGTCAGAAACCGTGGCTGCTGATGTAGTGGAAGAAGCCAGGGTGCAAGCCGCTTCTCGATACTTGCTGCTGACTATTGTCTCGTCTCGTCGCAAATGCTCGTCGGTCTCCGCCACCCCTGTGTTCAACGTCCGCTCGAAGAAAGTGTTGCCAGTCGTGATGTTCGTTCTGATATCAGCTTCAGACTGGAAACCACAACCGCGGTCGGCTGTGTAGTCTCGGAATTTCTCATTCGAACGGCGATGGCGAAACACGAGATAACCGATGGCGCCTCCGATGACCACAAGTAGCAAAGCTGCGCCTGAAATCATGGCCACAAGCATCCAATTCAATGCCTCAGGGGAGTCAGAATACTGGTCGCTATTGTATAGCAGGTGAGAAGCGCTACCCGAGTCGCCCGCGTATGCAGAGAGGACATATTTGCTGTTGTACACTGCGTCCGGCAGCACGCAAATAGGCACCGACTGCACTTCTTGCTTTGTGGCCATGGGATTACTGCAATTGGAACTTGCGACTGTCACTTGCAGCGTCTCCAGTCCTGTGATCAATGGCATGGTAGAGTGGGCTATCTCGATGGACTCTACCGTACTGCCTTTCAAGTCGAGGGAAGTGAGTGAACCTGACGAAGGCAGCGTGACACCAGAGATTGCTTCGATGTTGCAGTGTTCGCACGTATACACCTCCAGTCGAGACGGCATTTCCCACGTCGAAAGATTGCGAATCGTGTTTTCGCTCGTGTCCAGTCGCTGTAATGTATCACCAAACGTGAAGGCGTCTAGATGGACGATGCCGTTGTTTCGTAGCGACAGCGACGTCACAGTATCAGGGACCTGGCCGTGGTCAAGACTAATGATTGAGTTGCCATCGAGAACGCTATAAAACAGGGCACAGACATATGCATTCGTCCAGCAAGCACACGTCAGAGCTGTCGTGAACAACGACATGCCGACGGTATACAGACAGCATACGTACAGATTCGTCACGGAGCTTGGGATGGACAAAGTGTCCAAACCACTGAGCTCGTTCATGGACAAGTCGCTGTTTTGAGAAACACAGAGACACAGCGACAACAACAACAGCAACAACAACACAAGTGAGCGTCGAGTACTCTTCCAACTACAGTAGCAAATAGCTGACAATCGCTCGCCATCCCACGGCCATCTCAACCCAATACAAAACGTACAGCGTCTCGACGGCCACGTCAGCGTCTTCGTAAATCACTGTGACCTCATTCCCCGACAAGAAAATCGTCTTCACGTCTGGGAAACTCGCGACTGCTTCGACCTTCAGCTTCGTGGCGTCGACGGCCGTCGTGCCCCCACTGGCCGTCGCACTGATGCTCACGACGGTGCAATTCGGGTACACGACCTCAGCACTCGACGCATTGCGTGCGTCTCGTCGCAAGGTGACCAGCGTCGGGGCCGGTTGTTCACAGGCGCCCGCGCTATAATAGCGAGCGGCAGCCACGAGGGCCCACTCGGGCGACCGCAGACAGACGACGACGACCAGTCGACGTGGCGTCCGGCGGAAGCGTTTCATGAGGCAGACGCGTTGTCGCTGCCAGCGACACACACACCACTGACGTCGGACGCTCCCGATGGGGTGCGGGGACGAGACTGAACGCTCGTCCGACGGGCGTCGAAGGGGTCCAACACGAGCGAACGCGGGGCTCCGGCTGTCCCTTACCCATCCTACAAGACGCGCTTTCGTATGGTCTCTGCGATTTGCTCGCGTGGTGTGTGTCTGTGTATGGACAGTGTCGGTGTGTGGCGTGGAGCCGCCAGCTCGTTTTCAGCATCTGGTACGCACGTGGTGCTGTTACAAGAGACTTACAAGAGCTCTGCGACGACGCGTGACGTTCGTAACGTCACGACAGGAAGTGCATGGACCGGACCGGACTGGACTGGGCCCCTGCGAGTGGTTTTGCTGGAAGGGTGTGGCCACCGGCCTCCCTACCGACCTAGAAAGGTATCTCTCTCGTCGGTCAACACAGTGCAAGTGAACAAGTGAACCCGAAAAGCCTACAAAAGCTGCACGCAACTGCCTCATTAAATAACTGCAAACCATCGACGCACTGGACGTCGACGTTGCATGTGCAACGGAGAAACAACAGCCATTGCCTTCTCCGTACGGTACCGTCCCCGGCTCGCGTCGCGTCTCGGTCTCGACTTGATCCGACATGACTATCCAGCGTGGAACGGATGTCTATAGCGGACGTCGAAACGCGAGACGTGTGTCGCTGCTGCGGCTCTAAACCTGCGTCCGATGCCGCAAAGACGCCCGCAGCCTCTCCTCTTCACGTTCCAAGTTGCGCAGCTCAAAGTGGATCTGCAATGCCGATGGACGCTCTTCTGGATCGTACGCCAGGCACTTGTCCACCAAGCGGCGCACACTTAGTGGACAGTCAGGGTGCACCTCGGGTCTTAGAGAACCGGCACTGACCAACACTGCGATTCGAGTGTTCGACGTCTTGGTCTTGCCTGCAGCACCCTCCTGGTTGCTCTCGCTCGGGACGCCGTGCGAATAGGGTCGACGACACGTATCGAGCTCTGTCAAAATGACGCCAACCGAGTACACGTCGGCTTTTTCGGAATACTGCTCGCCGCGCAGCACCTCTGGCGCAATCCACGAGACCGTGCCAATCTCGGCAGTCATCGTCTGGTCTTCGTCCAGTGTCCGACTGGTGCCAAAGTCCGTCAACTTTGCTTCCCACGACTCGTCAAGCAGCACGTTCTTCGGCTTCAGGTCACGATGGATGATAGGGCTCTCGAACGAGTGCAAGTAGACGAGGGCCTCGGCAATATCAAGCGCAATGCGTGACTTGCACCGGACTTTCCCGCCTTCTCCGACAGAGTGGAACCAAGTGTAGCCACCTCGGGCGTACTCGTCGTGAGTCTCGCGTTGCAATTGCGCTTGCAACATGGAGCTCAGATCGCCACGAGGCATGTACTCCATTATCATGCTAATGTCCAGCAAAGAGCTCCATGTGACGCCAATAAAGCGCACGATCTTGGGGTGGTCCAGCGTCGAGCACAAGCGAATCTCATCCATAAAACTATTTAACCAGCGATTGTCACGAGCTCGATCAGGCAGCAATTGCTTCGCAACCACCTTCTCGTTCTGGAACGTGGCCAGGTAGACAGCGCCGTAACCGCCCTTCGCAATCAACCGCCCGCGTACGACTTCTTCCTGCAGTAACCTGCGTTGCAGGATATCGTCTTCCACGCGAATATCACCTATCCCCAAGTTGAATGTCGAGTTGTTCAGCAATCTCCTAGGCGCCGAATCTTTTCGGCCTGATTGTGACATATCCGTCGTGTAAGTGTGCACGTACGTGGTCGCCTTCGCCGTCAACGCCTGCACGTCAAGCTCTAGCTCCTCAGCCTCTATCAATTCTTCATCCCGAGCTTTTTGCTTGCGACGAAAGACGACGAAGACAATGCCGCCGACGATACAGGCCATCATTGCGCCGAAGCATATCATGGCCAGCATCATCCAGTTGCTCAGGAACGAGTCCCCGTCGGCATTTGTTCTTCGAGTGAAAGAGTTGAATTCATCGATTGTATCAGTTCCGCTTAGCGTATGCTTGGCGTTAAAGTACTCGTCTGGCAGCACGCACAACTTCATCGAGCGAATAACTTGCGCCAGAGCGTGGCTGTCACTGCAGTTGGAGTCGACGGTTGTAACGACGAGATTCTCCACAGCCTCGAGCACACGTACACTTGACTTGGCAACTTCAAACGACTCAATGTTGCTGCCCGTCAAATCTAACGTCGAAAGTGACCTGGTCGCCGGAAAGATCATACCCGCGATAGACTTGATCCCGCAATTATGGCATTTAAAAGACTGTAGGTTGCTCGGCATTTTCCAGCTGGCAAGAAATGGTATAATGTTGTCGCTCAAGTCAATGTCCTCTGTCTTCTTTCCCACCACGAAATTTTGCAAAGACGTGATGCTGTTGTTTCGAATCGATAATGACGTCACAGTGTCGACGAGGTCGCCTGCCGGCAGAGTAGAGACCTTGTTGCTGTTCAAGTTCCTGTTCCATCCAAATCATTTGTGTAAGCTACTAGGCGTAGACGAAAGACGGATAGCAAAGACACATATAGGCTTACAGAACGGAGACACTGCTAGGTATTGTAATATTGACTAGGCTTTGAATGCCGTTGTGGGATAAGTCCCTACACAACACACACAACACAAAGCAAATGTAGACAAACACACACACACAAAAGCAAGCAGTCGATTAGTACCCAGTGTCGTAACAGCAGCCCTACCAAATCAGCAGAGTTCTTCCGTACAGCGCAGTGATGCTGCTAACGTGTGCGCCTTCAATGGCAACAATGTTGTTATCCGATAGATCCCTAGTCAGCATTCACGCATCATCACACACTCGCTCAATATCTCCCACATCACTTGCTTTGCTGAGCTCGATCCACACGTTCGTTCCTCCCGTGCTACGTACAACGAATCGACGTTGGGAAAACTCTTGACAATGGCAATGTGCTGCCCCGACGCGTCCATCGACTGACTCCCGTCGCTCTGTTTGTTTGCGTGGATGGTCCAGATCGTACAGTCCTGGTCGATGACATACGCTGCGCTCGCGGACGACGCACTTTGCGTGAACGTCACCTGAGTCGGCGGCGACGCGAGACACGAGACGTGCTGCGTCTCTAGTGTCTCGGACTCAGAGGCTGTCGACGGGGTCGTGGCCCCCCCTTTGCATACCGAAATCGCAGCGAATGAAAGCGCGAGCAGACGATGTCGCCAGCTGCTGTGCTGGGGCACATGCTCACCGTCACGATGCATTCAGCTAAAGCGAACGAAGTCGTACGGGGGGTGATCCGTGGACGTCAGAAGCCTCTTGCGGCGCGGACTTCCTCCTCCGTCGACGTACGTGGGCACTTGCTCGGAGTGTAAGAGGAAGTCCTCGTGGCGCTGATGCAAAACTGACTCATCGGATCCGCGTACCTGCATCAAGCGACACGGAGACGATACAAAACGCAGTCATTAGGTCAATGACAGTCGCGCAGAACGCGGACCAGTGACAGGCAAAAGAGCGTCAACCCCTGCGGATGAACACCTAGCCGCGGACATAGACGCGCTCAGCGTGAGAAAAACAGAGCTGCCTGTCAGACGGGGCCTGGTTTCTCACGCGTAAGCACACCCCTTGCATTGAAGCAAGACAAGAGATGGGACTGCTGCGGACCAGTATCAGACAGTGTTGGGCGAGGGCCGCCTTGCTGTTACTTTTCACAGTGGACCGAACTTTTGGCCGGAAAGCCAGACCTGTTCATCTTTTTGTGACGGATGATACCCATTTTTACCACTGCTTACAAAGGGACGACGTTCTTTATTGGCTCTGAGTGTGGTATTGTTGACAATCGACACGACAGGCGTCAGAGAATGAATAATCAATTCATCCAAAGATTGTATCCCTCCTGCAGTCGTCGTTCGGGGGAGTGGGTGGGGTCGATGGACCCAGTCTGGCAGTTTCCACGCTATCAACCTACTGCAAGCAGAAAAAGCTCAGTGTCGTGCGCCAACACGCCAACCTGAACAACGGATCCATAATGGACAAAAACCGAGGTCGGTCACGAGCTCTTTTCGCAACGCAGAAGCTCATTCTTTTGGCGAAACCGTAGCTGTCATAAGACTTGTTGCTCTCGCTTTACAGCGCAGGGAGCTAGTCAGTATGAGCAGTCCTCTACAGTTACAACATCGAAGTTGTCATTGTCAGCCGTTGTCGTTTAGGCTGCTTTCTGAGAAGCGAGGTTGTTCATTGAGCGCTACAAACTAACGATCACATTGCTGTCGTGCTCAATGTTGCGGTACTTTTGTCTGTATGAACGCGTGTCCCCGACTCATAAGCATAGCCAGCAACTAGTCGCTACAGCGACGATGAGATGACAGCTGTAGAACCTATTGATGATACGTTAGGGCAGTGTCGTTACGATTATTAACCGGTTGACGAATGAAGTAGCAATCGAGCTCGAAGATTCGGTGCGAGGAAGTCCAGCAGCAGCAGCAGCACCATCAGCCGGCCTCGCATTTCGCCGTGACGCTCGTATTGTTGCCGAGTCGATTGACGTACAAGTGGAGCAACGCAATGTGTACAACAACTCCATCCAGGCACATACGCCCCTAGGACGCCACAAATCAATACCGACGCAGCTGGCAGCATCAATCGCGATTCGTACAAGGCTTCAAAGCCGTGGCAGCACATGAGACGGATGCTGAATGCGTAAGGATTTTCACGGAATCTGACGCTTTCTGTTGGGTTGGAGTCGGTCTTCGCTGGTGCAGCTTCCAGCGCGGCAGATGCGAATTCGGTGCGTACGACCTCGTGGCCTTCGATATCGTTTCTGGTACTACGTGCTGAAATGTTGAGAAGATTGTACAGGTTCACGCAGACATGTGCACTAGCTAGATCCATGATTTGTCAACCCTCTTGCAACAACTATGCCACTAGTGTCTTTCACGCTATACTTAAGATGAACTGCAAGCTACCAATTACACTATGAACGTGCTAGCAAACATGCAGGATTGCCCCGTTCCGATGCGTCCATTCAATCCGTTGTGATGGAACTAGTAAAGGATGGTTCGTGGTAGTCGAAACATTCGTGTTGAATGATTCGGCAATGCGCACCATCTTAGCGCGAGTAAGGTTATACTACGTGGTCAAGGACGCTTCGAATGTGTTGCGATCGATCGTCAGAGACTCTGGTGACACCGGAGCCGTCTCTTGCCTCGATCTAGATTACTCTAATGACACCGCAGTTCTCATTGCTCTCCAACAGCGTCACAGTATTGAGTCGATTTTCTTTTTTCGCTCTAAATGTCCAGGAAGTGTCTGTCGCGCCTGGAATTGTCTGTCAAGCGCGCTCGTCAACACAATGAAAACAACTATGCGTATGCCTTTGCATTCATCTTCTCGTTCCATCCAATGCATGAGTGAGTAGCTGCTCGCATCTGGTTTTTGCTTTTATTCTACTTTTTCTACGACTAGATACGCGGTGCTGCAACTGCCTCGCTTGCTTGTTTTTGACACAGCGAACCTGGTTCTACAATCGTACATCAGTGCCTGCCTGGACACTGCCGACTTGTGCGCCTTTCGCATCCTTTCATCGAACAGAGCTCCCAGCGTCACCTTTTGCGGGCCACCTTTAGGGCAGTTTACACCTTTATACAAACGCCCGAGTCATCGGTCGTTTGCGTTTTTCACCAGCGAAATTCTGCTCTGCTAGAGCGCGTTCTCTGCGTTAAAACAACTATTTCGTCGTTCCTAAACGCCTCTGGCGTTTCGTTCCGACTTCGACCATGTCAACGACTCGTGCACCATCAAAGATCGTGCTGCAAGCGCATTCCCTGTTGCCATCATACGACAATCCCGAAGCCACAACAGGCGACACGTGCGTTCGTCCGCTGACGACACTTGCGGCTCCATCGATTGTTGTGGGCACGGGGGTCCACTCGACTTTCCAGGTACAAGACGATCAAGAGGTGGACGCAGCTCATGGGACACTGGAACGCACGATTGGACGGGGTGTTTGGATCTACAGCGACCACAGTCGTCGCGGCTCGATCGTGAACGGAAGTAAACGACTGCATCGGGACGCGGTCGTCGTGCACCACGGGGATACATTGGAAGTAGGTCAGACAGTGATTGGATTGGATCTAGAAATGAACACGACGACAGCGGCATGTTCGACTGACGAACCCGTCGATCGAGCGATGGACAACCACGTGCAACCTATTCCGATGCACCAAAAGACGGCGTTGAGCGCACGGAATGTTGCGAGGATGGCTCGACGTCGAGCGTCGACACCGTGGGGACCAGCGGTCGCAGTGCACCAAACTTTTGGAACCACTAAACCCAGAACATTGCAGATTGAAACGTCGGGACTGGACGGTAATGGTTGTAGTTCATCCTCCACCGCGGTTGAATTGGTGCGAACTCCTCTGGAATACACAGCGTCGCCGGTTGCATGTACGCGGTGGTGTAGCAAAAGAAGCTTTGTTGCTACGGCAACACCAGTGGCAGCGGGAGCTTCGCCGTCACTATCTGTTGATCAGTACCAACACCCACCGAAAGATTACCAAGCGAGTAAGGGGGTCGAGCGCATCTCACATGTATCTTCCTCATCACCCCGTCAGATGTTCAAGGGATCCAGTGCAGAGAAGGCTAGTCGCCCACCTCCGTTAGGATATTCTAGCTCCCCAACAGTATCTCCGTCAGCTTTAGCGGCACGGCAGCGTCGCAACATCGAAGAGCAGCCGTCCAGACGTAGTGTGTTGCCAAGTCCTGCATCTGACTGTACGGCTGTAGAGCTACCACAGCCGAAGAATGCAGACGTTCGGCCAAGCTCACGACGCGATAATCTTCGCATTCAAGTGTCGAAGAAAATGGCTGCAGCAGCGCCTGTGAGTGCTAAAAGCATCAATATTCCCCGACATGTCCCAGTGCCGAATTTGGATTTTGAGGCGCCAGCGTCGCCTGTGGCACAGAGGGACATCATTAAACAGCAGGAATCTCTGCAGATAATTTTGCAGCACAAAATCGAAGAGGAACGGCTACTCAAACAGCAGCAAGAAGAATGGATGAGGCAATACTTGACGCCAGTTTCCACGAGCGACAGCGAATTGAATTATGAAGCCGTTTCCGAGCCACGGATTCCCCTGTCGCCTACAAAAGAGAATGACATTGTTCCGGGCGAGTTGGCACGTGGTGCAATTCCGGTACTGCTTCTTGCAGAAACGGGACTTGATCAGCAACGTCCAGCACCTGTGAAAACAAGTCCACGGCGTACAGGAGTCGTTCGATCACCTCAAGCACGACTTGATGGATTTCAAAAACGATCAAATGAGCCGGATGTGACGAAATGCTGTACACCCGAAGCACTTGCGTCAAGCATCAACAGAACAAATTATCTGGAGAACAGCAATTGCGAAATCGATTGCGCAGTGCGCAGCTCCGATGAAAGTGTCCTATCTACGGCAACTACAACTATTGCGTGTCACCGCCATGTCACGAGCTCGGTACGTAAATACACAGAATCTGCTTATGCGTCCATGCAAACATTATTCATGATATATGCCGTTTCCTGCCGCAGCTATCATCAAGCTGTGCCAGTTCCATCGGACGTTGTGATTTTTCCGGCAATGAGGATGAAGAGGAGACAGAAGACACAGTCAGGTCATACCCGAAATCCGATATGTATGAACCAGCTGCACTGCCACGTCGCTCTCGTGAAGAACCAGTGCTGATGTTTGACCTTGATCGCAACAGCAGCATACATTCATGGCGTGAGTCGAATTAATAACTGTAAGGTTACGCCAATACTTTCAACGGTACGGCCCAATACGAGTTGCATAAGTTGATACGCTTGATTTGTCAAGCCCCGGCAGAACTTTGGCACACGCGTACCTGAGTTTGCAGGTATGGAGTTTTGAGTATAACTTTGTGCGAAATCCAAGCCCGTACTTCACTATATTCTAAGTATATCGACGAGGCACAAAACGCAAAATTTCCATCGCAGCTTCGGAGAGGAGCACTGCTTACAACAGCTCTTCCAATGTCCCGGATCATTCTAGGATGCGCATCCTTTTGTCGCCAATAATTCAGACTGCTGACTGGAAGCTAGGTTAAAGCAGCGATGGTACTGACTGTCAAAAACAATATCAAAAAGCCAAACTCAACAATGGTTCAGCTTCAACGTTTATGTTGTATAGCACGACTTATACGTGTGCTTTTGAAAAACACACATCGACGGGCAGTCAGCATTGAAAGGGCGGGAAACAGGACCGTAAGTTTGTATCGATATTACAAGTGATGAAAACAGTACTGCTCGCTTTCTTCCAGGGCCCAACGGCGCCTTAGTTACCTCGGTGAGACTCAGAATCGGATATTCATTACTGTTGTAAAAGAAGTTATGTCCGTGTGGTTAAGTGTTACCTTACGTGAAAACTGCAAGTCTCACCAAACGTTTTGCTTTTTCCACCTCCGTATAAAAAGGGCGAGGCTAACAAATACATTATCAAGTACGTACTTTTGGGATACGCAGTTTTACGATTTACATACTACCAACACGCAGAACCGAGTAAACGCGGTAGACGCATCTCCACTTGTCTAGAGCTTACGACTTCCTCTCTTTATGTGTACCTTTATAGTCCTGGTGCTTAGCCGGGGGGAGGGGGGGTCATCTTCGTCAAGTCACATCTTTGTTTCCTCCAGAAGACTCGCACTGAATAAGATGAGTCTGCGAAAGTCTCAACCGCCTTATAGCTGTCGAGACAAATGCGCAAAGAGTTGCAGGGTTCGATATCGGTATGAGTGTTGATACCGATCGCGGCTGTGTGAGCAAAAGCAAAAGAGGGTAAGCTCATACATATATGTTATGTATTTGGAAGAGAGGCAAGTAACGAGGTTGTCTCGCTCATGATCTCATAATCGAAGCGGGGCCTCTAGTCGTCCTCCAAGACGGACCTGAATGGTGGAATCGATCATCATAATCTGAGATTTTTTGTAGCGTCTAGAGGCGATATTATCATTTCTAGCTGAAAGTGAAACTGCACGCATTTTACAGCAACATACCATTTCTTGCAGTTTAAACTTATGTGACTTATCATTTTTCATGGGAAATGTAAAAACGGAATCGGAAATTCGTAAGATTAACAAATGATTTTGATGATCGAAAAATACAACATTTGACCCAATGATCGGAAAGTTATAATGCACAACAAGATGGGAAATCATTATATCAAATATAGCATTTTCAAGGCGACAAATGAGTAGATAATATCATGTTTGATATGTATACATAAGGGCTGTTGCAAATGATGCAAACGAGCATTTCCGGCGATTTGGACGTGCTTGATCAACCTTTTGTCTCCACTGATCACAGATGTTTTGCATGGTAAAAGTAGTTGACACGCCAATACTTTTTACACATGAGACTTGAACTCCATGATGCGAGCGTCATTATTTATTGTCCTCGCGGATAAATCGACTGGTGCATTGCGTGATGATGTACCTTATATTGTATCTTATTTATCGATGAGAATCAAGAGGGCCGAGCTAGCACGCTTGTGGGTATAATGTCTTCCACTATAGATAACAATAGTGCGTCAATTTTTGCAGTCTCCTTTCGGCAATATCCGTATCCATGGCGACATCACTACCATTATCAGCGGCGTCTTATTTGGGACGTTACAATATCATAGCACCATTGCGCGTTTCGTTGACGTGCATTCGACCTCAAAGACTTGTGCTCCGTCACCGAAACGCTTCAGGTACCGCATCTTGTTTTCGTAGCTCAGAGCGACATCTTTTTCTTTGAAGCTTGCAGTACAAAATTAACTTAGGTGCAAGGTCTTAAGCGTGATAGACTTGACTTCAAGTGACCACGTATACTATTCGATCCACGGTAGCACTTAAAGTTACTTAGCCTTCCCTTGTCACCTTAAACGACAGTTCATCTGCAACTTAGCACTCTTTGGATCAGCAAACGGCATTTGCAAGGACACTAAATCGACCACTTGGACTGTCGCTAACACTTAAAGCACACAGCGCTTGCTTTTTGCTAACCTTTTTACACATTCTCACTTAGTACGGCTGGCTTATTGGTAACTCCGATATTTAAGTGTATTGCACGCAGACAGCGCATGCAATACCGATGACGTGTCATGTTAGCCGCAAAAGGGGCTGGTGAATACTTTTGTGGTGTTAGCTTTGATTCGGAGGTTGTCGTCTAAATTCTGTAGTAAAAGATAAATGTATGCCTCGACTCCGGTGCACTCTATCTTTAGCTACATCAATTTAGGCAGCGCACCTATTGTAAACCATAAAAGGATCGACAAAAATTAGTACCGATTTGACCCGGCACGGAATGATATCGAATATCACTTCTCTAGTCGTCGCAGTAGTTTATTCCAATGATTATTTAGAGCTGCTGGTGTTTCATAAAGTCATAAGCTGTAACAATAGGTGATACTAAGATGATAAAAAACTGATTGATCCACCACCTGCCACGAATCATTTATCAAGTTTAATTCCTTTCTCAATTTCGTAAATATCATCAAACGACTGACACCTACAACAACCATCATTATTGTGCATCCAACCCTATAACATGCATCGCTTACTACACCTTTACGATTCTTGCGATATGTGTAATTTATAGGAGCGTTTTCTATTTCGTCTTAGGGCGCTCGATGATTTGTTTGAGGTGGTGCGGCGCAACGTGCAAATTTTAGCCTACGATACCTTATTACGTAACGTTATTATTTATTCGATAGATCCGATTCAATTTATATATATCTACGATGTCTACAAACGCATAGGCGATATACCGCCTTGGTGGTGACAAGCTTCCACTAACCAATTTGCGTACTAGCAAATCACCTTATGATATGAATGTCGATGATTGGAGAAAAATATGGTGATCGTAGTGGTGTTGAGCAATAACCTTGATATTACAACCATGTCCCCAAATTAATTAATCCTCAATTATTAGCTCATACATATCACTAGACCGTTTGACCAATCAGCCTGCAACCCGATTTCCATGCTGCGATCTACAAATGAAAATTAGTCTCATAACTCGAATCTAGCTGAACCTTTGTAAACTAAGGCTATACTCATAACGATGTACTGAAAACAGAACAAATTTAAAATCCATTCCAAGTTCATTTGATGTGAGCAAATCCTTTTGTATATGGGAAAGCAAAAGTCGCTATATTATCGTTAAAAAGATAGGCGTCAAATCATTTCTACATCGATTCTGCTATTTGTAATGTAAACATAACACGACCGGTAATACCTAATGGACGTCGGTGATGCTATAGCGAAAAGTGAATGATAAAAGAACGATATTGGCAATGTCGATGGAGCGATATCGGGCGTCAAAAATGGCCTATACAGGCCACAGTGTGGATAAATGCATCGAAACAATTATGTACACGTGCGCGCAGAGCTAGGTAAATGTAATCAACGAACACGCCTGATAGAGAAAAATTAGAACAATGACGTATGTATACAGTCTTCTAGAAAACTAATCTTACTCTGATCTCACTTCTACGAAAGCGACCTACAAAACACGCATTTGTAGGTTGCACTGACAGATCGCGTCAAGGGGTAATTTGTAGCGACCATAGAGATCCGATCACCAAGCGAGACCGAAGAGACAACCCCAATACTACATTATTTCTTAACCACAGGATCAACTAGTGTCGTGTGTGTTTTCCTTACTAAACAAGGAAAGGTTAAGCTGCGTAGGAGCTACCGTTATTTTTTGTTGGTTATCGACAAGCGGTCCGATTGCCGTTTGCATTTTCTCCGTATTAATGGTGACACAGAGTACAAGGCCGTAACTTTTTCTCGTGCGACTAGTCGCACGGCAATTACAGAGGCCGGTAGCCAGGCGATATTGTGAAGGCAGGGTGCGAGCACCGAACGGTGATGAATACGGTACGCTGCATAGTTTTTCTGAGTACTATACTTCTTTGGGTTTGTGGCGATGCTACCGAAATACGGCTTGTGTTCCTTACAAAATGCCAATCCAGTATCATTCTATGCGGACCCCATTTCACGAGATGTTATTTGGAAAGTGGCCACGACTAGTGGATATTGTCGCATTTATTTCGAAATGTGATAAGCATTGCGACCAAATAAATACACGCTGAAGCAGCGTGCCGAGGTTCGAATTGATGTAAGAAAGAGCGGCGAGACAGAATAAGATGTTGGTGTCTTCCTCGACGTTGCATTGTTATAGGCATACGTTACGTCCGTCAAATGATGAAGCTCTCACTTACGTGAAAAGCAGTTGTAGGAGATCGTACGTAACGAGACTGGGAGTGACTTAGAAGTGTTAGCACGTGAGCGTATACACCAGCACGCCAGTGCTTAAGCTATCAAGAAACGACCTTATTAGGGTTGCATCGTTCAGTTTGTATTTTGGAATTGGGGCAGCAAACAAGACGAACGGCGAGCACGTCTCGTGCCGCGAGTGTGCGAAAGTATGGAGCAGCTGCAGATAAGATATTGGTATGTATGAAAAAACAGATAACCTTTGACATAAGTGTACTCGTCGGAAACACTTCGTCGGAGACCTTCCTAGCCTGAGTGAAGTAGACCCTCTTAACGTGGGCTCCTGCGTCAGCCCGCCTTTGTTTGTGCTTCTGTACACGCGCTAAACTACCGCGTCGCGTCGCGTCTACGTGAGGGTCTGTACTCCGCTTTACTTGTTGCTGAGCTTTGTCAACAACTTTGGCCATCTCCGTTGGTGGAATGGCAACTCGCAGCGTTCAGTGCGGCTCGCTGCTTCCTCGTGTATAGATGAGGAGGTTGCGTTGCTTAACTTGTAAATGACACCGCTGCGGACACACACACGCACGCGTCGCAGTCAGTCTCGATGCCAGTGAAAGTGTCGACAAGTTCAATCCCTTACACCAGTCCAACTGCAGACATGGACGTGGCTGTACACTCTTCCGAGTAGTAGGACCAAAGGTGTGGTCAAGCGCCGGAAGGGCTCGCGACATTGAAAGCAAAGGAGACGAGACTCTGTGCATATGGTGCACCTGTCGACGGCCGAGCGCCCGTTCTGTGCGCGTGATACCGCGTAAAATCAGCTGTCCGCACAAGCACTTAACACATATCGGCCCTCAGTTACCTCAAATATACCCACACCAGTGAACCGCATCCCTTTCAATCAACGACTCGTTTCTTGCGCTCGAAATAAGTCCCTCGACAGTCGATGTTGTGGCCACGCGAGGAGTTCCACGCCGCCTATAAGCAAATCAAACACGACGCAGTGCACTCCAGTGGCACCTGCAGCGTGCTCATCCTCGTAGCGCTCGACGTGGACGCTCTGTGCGCTGCAGAGATCCTCACGCGTCTACTGCGCGCCGACATTGTGAGCTACTCGCTACTTGCCGTGCGTGGCTACGAAGACGTGCTCTTAGCCCGTGAGTCGCGCATTCGCTGCGCTGATGGATCGCTGAGAAGCGACGGCGCGCTGAGGTCGGTCGTCATGCTGAACTGCGGTGCCATTGTCGACGTTGCGAAGCTCCTGGCGCTGCCACCGCACGTCAAGTGCTATGTGCTGGACAGCAATCGCCCCATTCACTTGGCGAATATATATGATACGGACGGTCAGGTCGTTGTATTTGATGACGGCGCACTGGCGGTTGGGGACTATCCAGTGTGTGGTCTAGATCTCGAAGTCGAGGATTTTGATACTGACGAACAAGAAGAAGAAGAAGCAGAGGAGGACGAGGAGGAGGAAGAAGTCGATATCGATCAGAGTGATGCAAGTGAAGCGGAAGTGGACTACGCTGTTGATGCAGTGGATACAGAGCTCATTGAGAGGCACCAAAATGACGGTCATGGAACGGACAAGAGGGACCGAGAGGACGAAAATGAGAGAAACGATGCAAGTGAACAGGAAGATTTGGGTCAGAGATACAAGAGGAGAAAAGATAAAGACGAAAAGGAGGAGATGGCGGAGGAGGTAGAATCAATGGACGAAAGTGACACAATAGCCAAACGGCGTCGTCGTGAAGAGATTTTGCGATACTACAGAGGGTCGTTTCATGGCGCCCCGGCGGCTACAGTGGCGTTTGAACTGGCGCAACAGGTGAACAACTCGCAGCAAGATCTGCTGTGGTTTGCTATTATTGGATTGACAAAGCAGTTTGTGCTTGAAGAAATAGACACGGACAACTACAACCTCATGATCACTCGGTTCCAGGATGAGGTACTAGCGCTCAATGTGCCAACACTATCCAGCGATCCAGGAGCGACTGGCGAAGAAGAGATCCATCCAGGCTATGAAGACGGTAAGATCAGTTTTGAGGAGGAATACCGCTTCATGTGTTACCGACATTGGTCTCTGTACGAAGCCATGTATCACTCGGACTACGTGGCTTCGAAACTTGGACTCTACCATGATCAAGCACGCCGTTTTGGTGCGCGAAACGCTTCGGGAAATAGCGAAAATGGGACGGGAGACACGGCGCTGCATGTTTTTCTTGCGCGTATGGGCTTTTCGTTGCGGCAGAGTCAGCAAAAGTTCTCGTACATGCCGTTGGAGATGAAGCAGAAGCTGCGCGAAAAGACTGAGGAAATGGCACCCGAGTTTGGCCTGGATGACCTCTTCTACGGCTCTTTCAAGCGAACATTTGCGTTTCAATACCAGCTGAGCGCAGCTGATGCTTTCTACGGATTGCAAGCTTTGCTGGAGGCACCAGAAAGTTACATTGCTGCAGTATTTGCAACTGAAACACAGCAGCAGCAAAGCACTTTATTGTCTCTCTTGTCCCTCGACTCCGTCGTGTCATCTGGCGTCAATAGCAGCAATACTACATCACAAGACGACCGGATTCGATTAGATACCGAAGACACGGCAACTGAGAAATTACCTCGAGACGATTTCCGTCAACAGAACTTCATGTTTGCGCACACGGCTCTCGCGTGTCATTCGGTAACATCAAGCAAGCTCATGGAGAGTGGCATCAAGGTATCAATGTCGCTGAAGCAGGCCATTGTACGCGTCGGACTTTCCATCATGGAGCGTAAACTTTTGGTTCGAGTGAAGCACTTTCGCTACGTATGTTTAAACGTCACCGAACGCGATCAGGAGCTCTTTGCGAATGCCAATATTTTGACGCAGTTGGCTCTGTTCTTACTTAACGTACATCGCGCAAGTGGCAAATGGGGTGGTCCGAATGGTCCAGCTCGTCAAAGTCTGACAGTCAATGAAGGTATGGAAAGTGAGCCAGAGAAAGGTCGACCTGTGACGAACAAATCCATTGTCCCGCTGGTGCTTATCACACGAAACCCGGCGCAGAACTGCTTTCTGGTAGTAGGACTTAGCTGCCCATCCACACCTGGCGAGATCCATCGAAAGTACGTTTTTACGAACTTGCCGCATTGTGATGGTTGCTAATTGTGTCATTCGTTGTTTGTTTTCCAGTACCTTGGGAACGGCTTTTAAGCTTGCTGCCAGCGAGACTGGAGCAAACTTTCGGCAGGATGGCTTCACAAGTGCCGTGATGGAGATTCAAATTGATGAAATCCAGCACTTTGTTGAGCAATTACACAACGTCCTCGATGCATGAGGGTTGCAAGCAACGCCTTGAAAAGCGATGATAATGAAACGAGTTTGTGCTTTGATCTTTTTTACTTGTTGTGTATTTCGGTCACATCAGTCGGTCACACCAGAAAGACCAGTCAGACGAAGCAGACGGCGTGCGCGCGGTTCCACACCACCTATAAACAAGTCACTGCAATGCTGTGAGCCTACTTAAAAATCAAATCACTGTGAATATGTGAGCCTACTTCAAATCAAATTACTGCAGTCATGTGAGCCTACTTGAAATGAAGTCACTGCAATCTACTTACAATCAAGTCACTGCCATCCAGTAAGTCCATATTTTCATGAAGCTTCGTCTCCATACCACTTTCACATTTCTCAGTGGTGCTTAGACAAGTGCGTTCAATCTAGCGTCGAACGTCGTAGCAGTTGGCTCAGATCTTCCAATGTTCACTCTCATTCGAATGATCTGAGGTTGGAAATGGAATTGAGGTCTTATGCACTCGAATTAGGTGCGCTAGCAAGCAAAGGGGAAGACGGCGGTCTGAAATTGTCGTACAGCTAGTGCGAGCCAAAGCATTGCTTGGACTCTCTTCAGATTAGCTAAGTTTTCGCTCCCGGACGAGTGGCACGTAGCAAACACCGAAGAGCCGACGCTGTGAGTAACTTGTTCCATGCCGCACGATCTCCACAAAAACTTGACCACCACGAGCTTCATCCAGTGGAAGCACGAGGCGTCCGCCATCCGCTAGCTGCTCCAAGAGTGCTGGAGGAGGAACTTCAGCGGCAGCTCCAACATGGATGTAGTGGAATGGTGCTTCATTCGGCAGTCCGTCCCAGCCGTTGTGACAGCGTACTGATACGATACCACGATCAAGCAAGTCGCCGTCTGCCATCTGTATGTTCTTCTTGGCCAACTGGACGAGTCCAGAAACAATCTCCAAGCCAAACACATGCCCGCCCTTGTTTTCTACCATTCGGCCAAGGCATGCTGTAAGGAAACCGGAGCCTGAACCCACGTCCAGGATTCGCGGATTGACAACGTCCTTGATTGCAGCGTACCCCAACTCCATTGCGTGACCATGCATATGCGGTGCAGAGATAGTCTGGTGATAACCAATTGGGTGAGGAATATCTTGGTAAGCGTGCAGCTCACCAATGGGTCCTCCATCAGGAGTTTCAGTTTGTGTCAGATACTTGGCGCGGTCCGTCCGCACCATCGCGTCGAATACAGCCTCCGACCGTATGACCCCTGTTTGTCGCAAGTTCTTGATCAAGCCTTCATTACTCGACGAGTTACACGGCCAGAATGACATCTCGGCCTGATGTAGGTGACACCACTGACTGCGAACGAACAGCGTCTTGTTGAATCGGAGCGTGCTGGTGAATGTGCTGCAATCAATCAAGGATATCAGGTGAAAAGCAAAGTGAAGCGAGCCGTTATGCATCGATTGGATCCGGCAGTTGGTAGCTCATCAACCATCTCAGCCATCTTCACTCGTCCCATGTGGGACACGGCGTCATTCCGCTGCTTCAATACAGTTGCTCAACGCCTTTGCGCTTCTGTAGAAAATGGGTGTCATTAGCATTCTAGTAAACAACGGCGTACCTTGGAGACATGCAAAGTACAATTGATCGTTCCGATGGTGGTGCTACAAAGCGCTTGTTCCGACAAGGAATAACAAGATGAGTTCCGTGACTTTATTGGCGGTAGCTTCGTCCTATTGTCGCCTTGTACCTGGCCATCAATAATTCCAGATACTTTGTCAGCAATCGCTCTTTGTGAGAAATGCTTCAACGCTCAAGAAGCATCACCATACATCGGACCGTTCGTTCTGGTACAGACAGATTACCTTAGTCCCCATCGTTATTGCCCTTTGACGCAATAATAACTAAACCTGCGTCATCACGTCGTGTCGTACAAAATCTTACATGTTGGGTATCAGAGCTTGATGGTGCTCAACTGACGCTGTTTTCATCAGCAGACGATTCTGCTTTCTTGCCTTATGTGGTCTACCAAAAAAAGCCGCGGCTTCTTTCTCTTCGACTTCGTCTACCTTTCTAAAAACAGTTCGATGTTGTGCTATACTGAATGAGATGTGCGTGTACGATCGGCAAACATTTGTTTGTAACTTTAGCGCTACTCGTGTCAGTTCGAGAAAGCCACAAGACGTGGCGATGTCACCGCGGTAGGGCTCATTTCACCTGTTTCGTAGTCTCTCTTTTGAAGACATTTTTTCCCTTGTATCAGCCATTTATACCCCTATCGAGCTCCCAAAAAAGGGTTACTCGTTGCGCGATGTTTCTCATCACAAACGTGTGGTACGCCTTTGCCATCTGTGCATCGGCGGTTTATCGGGATCGTGCTATCAAAAGTGCGTCGTTTTTCATTACGAAGGCGCACGGAGGATGTTCAGGCGAGTAACTCGCATACACACGACCGTCGGAAGCGCGTTTCGAGCAGTGACTTGACACCACTCTTGCCGTGGATATGATTGTGCAATATAGTTATTCTTTGATGGTGACAATCGACGTACATGCCAACAATTTGTGAGGCTGGTGTCTCTGTCCACCTACGTTACGCAACCTATTTACAGCTTTGTACCAAAACAGAAGAGCCAGCTCTGGGAGCTCGTCCTCATCAGTCTTACTATTCAGAGACTTGAACCAAGTTCTGAACGTTATCGTGACCAAATGAATTGATTGGGTTGACCACAAAAGAACAGTTGGTGCGCTATAAGGATAACATATCGTAAGGTTTCAGTGGTTTGTCGCGGGCTATAGCGAATTCGTTATCGTTGTTTACATATACAAGAGAAGTTCAGAGGATAGATATGGAATGGAGGTCTTATCCTAATTACAATTAATGCGATGACTATGTGGAATTAACGACGAAGAACTCGTCGATGAGAGGGCAAGAGATCAGATCATCTGACCGTCAGGAGGACAGAGCGCGATTTATAGAATTGCACATCAGTTGACGCAATAAATTTCAATATGTTCATGACAATAGTTTAGATTATGCTTGCGTGAGTTGCAAGCCTGGAGAGTAACTGAAGCGACAGCGGTTCAGTGGGTCTTCATTATCGATAATGATTTAAATAAACGCAAGGCACCACTGTTTTGAAAATCCCTCGCTCATTATCTCCATTTACTAAATCTTGCGAGTGCGTGTGCGTGTGCATGTCTTACAAACTCCGAAATGTTTGCGATGAGTGACCTAAAACCCAGCCTCATATAAACTGAATAAGCGCCATTATCTGAAGCCCTTATTACAAAGCATTCAAAACCCGCGTGACTCACAAACACGCTTGCTCACACATCATTTAGCTGCCTACAGAATCGGCTACTATCTAGTTCATACTCGCTAAGAGTTTCACTCTACGACGACTCTTCGTATAATTCACACAGAAAGCTGGATTGTAAAATATGGTGTGTAGCCAAATGCGATATATGTAAGGAATGAGATAGGCTCACAGGGACCAGGTCATCTACGCCGTACTTTGCTTTGGAAAAAGTGCGCTTCGAGCTGCAACATACGCAATGGAGGGTAGTCGACATGATAATGTCAGGTACGGAAGCCGTTCTGTCGATGACGCTAGATGCTGATAGGCTGTAGCTAATTATAACAATGAGCTGACCGACAACGCCATCTCTCTTTGCAAATGAATTCTTGTATATACGACGACATGCACAAGAAAAATAATATCGAGAGTATTTTGTTTATGAATGGTCTCTATGGTCCATATATTGTGACATAATACGCTTGGATCGTATATCCATTTAACAGGTCCCATGCTTTACCTTTATCATAAGCTTGAGACGTGACATCTAGGGCGTACGAGCGTTATAGTTCTTTTAATCTTACTGACTTCTGCAAAAAATACCGGAGTCACTATGTGTAATATAATAGATGACCCTTTTAACTTGCTTCAGCCCAGCAATTACCACGATACAATATTCCCAGTGCTGGCATGCCCGTAAATATGTTTATTCTGATCATCGCCTATTATATCTGATTAGCTTAGCAGACACTAGACGTGGCTTCTTCGAAATATTCTGTAATATTTCATCAACACGAGCGATGAATACTAGTTTATAGCGAACAGTATATTATTTAGTTATAAAGTCGTGAATATATCCGCAGTCAAACGTATCACAATTATTGATAGCGAAAACCAAGGGTGTAGCTAAAAACATGCAGCCGCAAAATAAACGTTGAAGGCCACAGACATCAAATTGGGGCACCGTCAGACGCATATACAAATGGTTGCCAAGATAATATGATTGACATTGGTCAATATGAGATCACGCTGATGTATCTACATACTTCCGGATGTTGTTCTATAAGTATAGTCATCAGATCATTTTGCTAGAATGTAAGCACTTCGCATTTTCTTTAGGTAGACATCAAGCCCAATCTTTTTTGTCCATAGCGACGGCTGGAAAAAAATGAAAGGGGAGGACCATTATTGCACACTTGTTAAGATTTTGCAGCGTGAAAATGACACAGATAGGTTAAAAAATATATAAGGAACCGCTATTTAGCCGTCACCTTCTTGCTGATTGCCCCCAGTTCCAAATGTTTTTCGAATCTGATTGGTCAAAGTGTAAAATAACAACATTTCATTAAAATTGCCCAAACCTTTATACGTCAACAGGAGACTCTTGCGCTTCTTGAAACTACGTTGATCAGCATGATGTTGAGCTGTTATCGCCATGTTGCTGCTGCTAGGACGTTCTACGAGACTGTGATACCGGTGACTAATCCATTCGATTTTTTGTGGTGTTGGCTGCTTTGGCAGCGTGTATGCTTATGATCACGGGAGAGTGTCAGTGGCTTCTGGCATCTGCGGGGATTCCCGTGGATATCGAATATCACATTTTGCAGGTAAATCTCGTGCGAAGAATTGGAGGTTTCTGCTGCAGCAGAACATTGACGATAAGCCACTAACAGTGCATAATAAATATTGCATACTACGATCGAGTTTATACAAGACCACACGGACCAGTTGGCGCTCATCATGTTGGCCCGGAAACTTGGCTGAATCAATTGCACGCTTGTTCACCACAATGCAGGGGACGGGCGACCCAGTGCAGGTTGCAAGTGTCAGGGTGGGTATTTTGCTAAACAAAACACTTATGTTACATGTTTCTTTGTTTTTATGAGCTATGAACAAGGTGCTTGGACACGAATAGAAGAAGAAGAAGGCGGAGATGTAGCAGCAACGCAGTATAAATGACAATTGTACCTTGGTACCAAATCGTGTTGCTGGCAAACAAACAAATTCAATTTATAATGGTGCGGTAGACAGCCACGTATTGTCACCATGGGCAATGTAATTACCTTACTACTTAGACGATGTTGCTGTTCTGCGTCCTTTAGCCCTTGATACAGTGCTGTTGAATCTACTATTGTTGCTGCTGGTGCTGTAAAAGCTGTTTCTTGTGCCTGACGGCGACAGGTTCGATCTTTGTGGCCTGTTAATGGCAGATCCAACATTGCTGGTGTCGCACAGGAGCTTCCAACGCACCTGCAACATGCTCGAGCTGCGATAGTGGCAATTAGCAAGAAGGTGATGGCTAAATAGCGGTTCCCAAAATATATTACGCTAAGTAAAGTGTATTGTAGAAAGTACTAAGCTACAAAACGGGTCAAATTAAGCGGTATAAATGAGCGAAGCCGTACACACGAATTTCACACATTAGTTAAATTACGATAAACTGGATGCGAGCAAGCTTTAGCCTGCAGCAGCATACAACAATAACAAAATGCTTCTTGTATATTACATGACAGGGTACGTCAAGTCTGTAAATAAATTCTAGACTGAGTCCATACTAAGATTAATCCTCCCTGTAATTCTTCTACCATACGCTGTAAAAGTCGCAAATGATAGACGACGAAGAAAATAATAAAGTGTATGATTCGTTCTTCATCTCATCAAGAAAAAAGGTGTTTTCGTTATTTTACGTTCGTAAAAAAACTGAGTACTGAGGTTCTGCTCGACATTTTTGCATAACTATGGAATACACAGAAGCTGTTGCAATGGCCGTACCTGTACTTGTGCGAATGCTCCTTGAATATCGATAATTTGGTTCTGTCAACAACATTTCACATCGATGCATATCAATTCAGTGAGCATGAATATCTATAGATATCGTTTTATTCGTAACGCCATCCCCGATCCAATACCTCCTTCTTTACAAACGACCTGCCGCTAACTGTCCCTATGAGACGTAACGAAGCACGTTTGTCTATTACAATTTAATTGAAAATGTAAATTTCACGTCGGAGAACCAGGTTCAAATTGGCCAT